TGTGCGTGCATGCCCAAGATTCCGAGAGGAGAATGGAGGAGAAGGGATTGTGGTGTGGCCATCCCCCCTAGGGGGTGATTTCTTGCTGTCTTTCTGTGTCTTTCTGGCGAGCACATGCGCCCTGTAGCAAAAACCTTTCCAAAAAAAGAAAAAAAAAAAAGGAAAAAAATTAAAAACCCTGCCCCCAAGAACCCAGCTCCTCAAGGTGTCCACCTTGGGCTCCTCTGCACCTGGGCACTGCCCCACACACTGTGCGGGCACAGGCTCCCGCGTGCACCATGCCGCCACACACCCCAGTGCACTCGCACATACTCCCTGCCCTCCGGGTGCAGGCTTACACAGGCCAGGCTCTCCTGCAACGGAAGCCATTTGTCCAGAGTCACAGCGGGACCCCAAGGGTGGACAGAAAGGCACCCAGAGGACGATTCATCCTTACAGTGGGCTATGCAGTGTGCGTCCAGCAGGGACCCCACCTCGCCCACCTCTTCCCCACTCTGCAGCGGGCCCCCTTCCCACTCACACACACTTGTTTCTGCCCTTTGTTTTCCTCCCTGATCAAATCCCCAAGGCTGCTTTGGTCATTAACCTCCTGCTTTAATTAGCTTAGTGGGGAGGAAGGCAGAGACAGGGCAAATTCAGGGTGGGTGTCTAGGGGGAATCTCATTTCGGTGGGGACAGGAAGGCTCAAACCAGCTGGTGGCCCCACAAAAACGCCTGGTACAGAGTGAGTCCTGTGCAACTGTTCGCTATTTCGGTTGATGTGAAAATAGACCCCTGGTTCACCAAGTAGGCGCCTTCCCCCAGTGAGAGTCCCACGGTCCCCTGAGCCACAGTTCCTCCAACCCAGGTGGCTGGGCAGACAGAGAGGGGTCAGGAGTCAGAAAACAGCCCACTCTGGGGGGTGTCTCTCCCATTCTTTCTCGCCCACTCTTGCTGGGTGGCAGCAGCCACCAATCCCACGATAAGGTGTGTCGTTCTCCTCGTGTTAAAGCCCCACCCAGGGGCAGTCCTCCCCAACCCTGGAGCCTTCCGGGGTTCTCCGTCTAGACTCTCCTTCCACGGATCTTTGCCTAGCACAGGAGAAAAGGCCCTGCGGCGTGCGTGTGCGACACCCCCTCCCTAGCCAGAGATCTCTGCTCAGGCTCCTGCCCTCCCACTGGTGTGCAAATGCACTCTTTC